GAGAGAGAGAGAGAGAATCATATCGAAACTCTTTGGATATTTAAAAGTGAAATGTGCCGAGTGTATTGCGGACATCCTGTACCGCGAAAATTTCCATAATACTTGCCTGAGGTGACGATCTTTGATTATATATGCGCACGGTAGCGCAACGCGCCTGATAATGTTCTATGTTAATAATATGAACGTGTTTCTCATATTAATGCATAAATATATCCACTTTCGCGCAAAGTCGTGCATGCCGCGTGAAAAACAAATGCGGATGTCGCAATAATGTCGCGAAAGTCGGAATGACGTATAAAAGTGCATGCACGCGCGCGTAACACATGCCGCGATAAGGGAACGATGGAACGATCCTCCTCCCTCTCCTCCTCTTTCTCTCGCTTTCATAGTTTTGACCCCGTGAAACTTGCAAGAAGTCATTTCGTCGCGTTGCGGCTCGACGTCAAACGCGACTCGGACACTCGCTGCCGTCAAACGCGACTCAGGCACTCGCTGCCGTCGGCAGGTTTGAGAGTAAAAGTAGTCGGTCGAGGAGATGAGATATGCAAATGAGCACGTAGAACTTAAGTAGCAACAGGCGATAGGTACTATCACGATTACAGTAGTAGTTATTGCGACGAGGGTAGACACGATCTAATTAAAACGCTCGTTTTCTGCACGCTTTCATGTCGACTGATTATGATAGCAAAATGAAGTTGCGATGCTTCACGACGATAACATTAATGATTACTTCGAGATCAATAAATGTATTATTTATTGAGCCGCTGTCTGTAATAAACGGTTAATGAAGTTTTAATCATTATACTATATAATGGGCTTTTGATAATTCTTCAAATATTGGGAGCGAAAAATTAATAAAATAACGGGAATTTGTAAAGCAATAATAATATATAAAAAATAAATTAAACTCAAGTAAATAAGGAATAAAAGTAAATTAAGCGAAATAATATAAAATATTGTCTGGAGTGTTTGAAAAAGAAAACTGAAGTATTTATCCGCATACAAATACCTCGACATATTTCATCATTTGTGTCGTCCATTTATTAATTATTGCATTAACCGTTCAGTCATATTGAAATAATCGAAAAATACTAACTACTGATTTTATCGTTGAACAACATCGTGGTATTATTAACAGCACTTCAATTATCTCAATTAACTTTAACGTCTCGTTGACGACATCAATAATGGCAGATTTCCGAGAGAAAATATCGAATGGCAATCTAGTCTTTTATTAATATTTTTTTTTTCAACGGCTCTAACTATGCAACTATCCGTAGAACGCACGACATTATCGCGATCGATGCATTTAACACGCTGATGAATATTGGATTCGAGTACGTCACGATTAAGCGGCGCGTACTGACGTTAACGTACGATTAATCGCGCCAAGATCAACGCGTGTAATCGGCACGATTTTTCGATCTGTTTTTTCAATTCAAAGAGCGAAAAGTAGGGCGCGATCGAATATTCTTTTATACGGCGGAAATTCACCCGTCACGATAAAACAAGGAACGAAACTAACAAACAACAAGAAAAATACTATCTTACTAATGCCCTTGTATTCAATTCTCTGTTAAGAAAATCGTAATGATAATATTGTTAGTAATCTTGTTATGATATTATATTTATTATATTAATGGGATATTGTAATATAATATTATATAAACGTTACATATAATGGTACTATACATGTTATAATAATACCATTATATTATAGGAATGATAAATAATAAATTTAGTTCTTCATTACGAAGAATTTAATAATGTTAATAATAAATGTACAAGCGATAATATCAATAAATTAAAGAAAGCAAATAAAATAATAATAAAATCAATTATAAATTCTAAATAAAATAATAACGATTAATTATAAATTCAGCAACGAGTCAAATAGATCCTTTAAGCATTACGTTCAACGAGTTGTCGTTCCGGTGTTCAATTAAAGAGATATGCTTTTAATGGTCAGATGGGATCCTGTTTTTATTCTTGGCTGCTATCATCAGGAGGTTTGGTGTTTCATCGACTTCTGCGTTATCGTTTTCCGAGAAATATCCATAATGACGTTTGATACGAAACGTCATAGATAAACGTTTCATTAAACAGAACTTGATAGCAGACGATGTATAATCGTCATTCCATTAATAAATTCGAATAAAACGCCACTCTGTTTTCGTGTCGATCTGATTGTTTTCGATCGACACGTGTGCATGTCGCCGGAACGGACGTTCGGGTTTCGGTCTTTCGCCGATGTCAGATTAAATCGGCGTGTCGCGTCGTGCCGATTTCCGCTATTCCGAGCATCGTTGTTTACGCGTAGATGCTCAGCACCGATTTCAAGCTCGGTCAAAGGGGGTCGTCTGTTCGTACCCGGGATCGTATCTCTGTGCAGTGCGTGTATGTGGCGACCCACGCTGGCGCCGTCGCAGCCACAGCCGCCACCACCACCGCCGTCGCCGTCGCCGCCTTCTGTCCCGCACTCTCGTTTCTATTTTCTTTCTCTCCTCTTCTTTCTTTCTCAACGAATCGCTATACCACCTCCGGCATCTGATAAAAATGTCCGGACTATTATCCAACATCTGGCGTTACCGGTATTTTACGTATAAATAGCGATAGCCTAATCACAATTGTAGGACATGTTCGTGAACTTGAAGTCGATAAAAAGGAAAAAGAAGAATGCTTTCGAGACAAAAGAAAGGAAATGCCCTCATATTATCAACAGACTTAATTATTAGATTTGACGTAAATCATTTTGATTTGACAATCGTTCCGTCAAAACGGTGCATCGCGTGCGCGACTACGATCGAGTTCATGATGTTTTTTTTTTGGAATCGCATCGCACTAAACCGGATTAGATCTGTTTCAATACGAAGCCAAGAATATGCGACAGTGATATAAATGTCAAAGATAATCGTTATTTAAATATAGCATTTATTTCGCCCTGCTTTAAAAAAAATGCGAGGAGGGAGAGTGCTCCTCCGAGTGCAGCTAATAAGGGCAATTTTTCTCGCATCTGTGTACTCTCGATACTCGACATCTCGTTCCGTATATCTATTCATTTACATGTACAAGTGTCTGCTTGCCTAATCCTTATATTGGTATATACAAGTTCGTTCCGATCGTCGCCCGCAAGGCAATTCCCCTTTCATCCCCTCACAATCCATCAGTCGCGATCTCTCCATTCCACGATATTGACGCCGCTTATAACGATAATTATCGGTCCCCGCCAAGAGGGAGCATATCTGCTCACATTAGAACGATCGACATGATGATTTACGGCGCATTAGGGGATATGCGTTGCTGTTATTTGGCGGAACATCGCGTTAAGCAAATCGAGGTGTCAATATACCGATTTAAGAACGACAATCAACAAAACAAATCTGCGGCACGCTGATTAGAAATATAAGTGGGTTTAAACCAGTGAGTTTAAGCTATGATCTGGCTACAATTTGGGATTTTCTATATTTTTTTTTATAGCGCTAGGAATGATGACACGAGAAAATGCAAAAGGCTTTTGATGTATCAATTTTTAGAATAGATGAATAAGAAATCTATAATTGTCTCGGCTAAATTAATTAACGTACTAGTTTAGATGTTTAGATTAATGTAAGTTTAACTTTTAGATTTGCTATTTATAGTTCATTAATTTAATTTATTTAATTCATCAATACATAATGGATATTGTATGTTAAATTATGGCAAATTATTCATTCATATAATTTTGCACTATTTACGGCTTGGCAACTATGTTAAAGATACGGGAAGTAAAGTTAGATTAAACTGGAATGCTCAATAATCTGAAGTGATCACATTCACTTTGGTCTCATGTCATCATTCGGTTTAAGTCCGTGAGCGCGCTACGGACTACGGGACTAAAATTCACCTTTCATGAAAGCTGAAAGCTCGAACGTACTTTCCACCACGTGATCGGTCATTTTCCTCTCATGGACTACCGGCACTTCACCGGTTACTCCCTCCCCTCGATTCACCCTTTGCACCCTCACGCACAAATGCACTTTTTCTTTTCTTTTCGCGATATACAGATCCACAAATCTCGGCACGTGTAAAACCAACTGGCTGATAAACTGGCCGCCGATTTCCGGATAATCCCAAAAAATCGCCCTCGAACGAGCGCGATAGAGGAGAGTTTATAGAGGAGTTCTCTCGCGAATCTGTCTAGGCGATCAACTCGACGTGGGCCGACACACGTCCTGTTCCGAACGCAGTCGACAGCGAACTGACTCGCCTCGTGTACTCTCGACTCCGTTTCATCCTCTTACGTGTGCGAGTGCGAGGGAGGCTCGACTGGTCTGTACTCCATTCCACCACCACCACTACCATCGCTACCACCACCACCACCACCACCACCACCACCACCACCACCACCACCACCATTAGTTTTGCCGCCGCCACTAGTAACATCTCGCCGCGCACTATCACATCACAGTACCACTACCACACCGTCACTATCAGTACCAGCAACACTAGTAGTACTACTGAACTACTACCGCCTATACTACCACCACTATCAGCAACACCGGCGACCTGACGTCGCCGCGGATACGACCTCCCTCTCACCCACCAACAAGCTTTGTCGACTCGAAACGCGGTATACGAGAATGTCGCGATGGTGGGGGATCCATCGCCGGAAAAGATCTCGTGACAGAGAACGGCACGTTGGCGTTGGCGTTCGGCGTTGGCGTTGGCGCCAGTGATAGTGGTGGTA